CCTTGGAGGTGGTACTGGAGAGGCTCCAGGCTGGGACTCCCTCGTTCTGCTGGGGCACTTCGGCGCTCGCGTGGGTGATGGCAGTGAAGAGTATTTTCCTTTCAGCTAAAGTTATCAGCAATAGGCATTCACACTAGTACTTCTGGCCAAAATGCTAGTGTGAATGCCTCTTGCTGATAACHTGCAGAAGGATTGAACTGTTTCGTTCAATTCGTTCAATCGTTCAAAAAAACCCTCCAAAATAGGCACTGTCGGACCTCCGCTGGGGGTGGTTTTAGCCCCCCTCCCCAGGCTAGGAACATCAGATCCCAGAGTGGCCGGTCGGGTTTTAAAGCTCTGGTTATGCCCTACAAGGTGACACTTGAATGGAGTCTCTGTTACGTTGCCCCGCGGAGCTATAAGCAAATTATGCACGACTTAGTGCATTTTACACTCATTTTTGGGAGGAAATTTCAACTTTCGTTTGCTTCTCCCGCAGGCTCTGAGGATCGGATTCGGGAAAGTGAGATGACTTTGGAAACCTACGGTCCTCCTCTACAAACTGGAGGTGATTACAAGATCCTGAGATGTTCCCCCGTGGAGCTATTAACTAATGACCGGCCCTAAAAGACGCTTTGGCGGACGATATAGTACTCAATTTACTCCAGAGCCTCTAGCGCCGGTTCTGAGCGTCGGATCCGGGCGGGAGATGGCCCATTTTACTGTTTTGAATCTCCGCTACAACTTGGAGGTGGTTTCAAGTACCCACGCGGAGAAATAAGTGATCAAAAGTTGTTGGGCGAGCTCCGGCATGTGAAACGGATTATGTGTCCCATCAGTGTATGAATGTGATTGGCACTGATTAGTCTCCATAGCTGATTGTAGATGTTAGCTGTGTAGAGCCCTAGTGGAGTGCTGTGTGAATGAGTAAATGAGGACACAGATTGTGATGTGAAGTGCTTTGAGTGTCCTGTATGAACTGAAAAGTACTGTACAAGTACAGTCCATTTACCATTCTTCAGCTAAAGTTATCAGCAAAAACAGTTCTACATGCAAAACGACTGTTCATTAAGTTCAATTAATCTTGCAGCCAAATACAGTCTTGTTCTTCTATCACCAGCATTTCGAACAGATTTATCAATATCTCCATGTTCTCAGCTTCGTTAATGTTTTCAAACGTTGCATCACCAGCCATGGAAGGATGGAATTCATTATTTGTCATATTTCCTTGATCAATGTTGTCACCTTCATTTCCCATGTTCTGAGCTATCATTTCTATTTCCTCTATGTTTTCTATGTTTTCCTCTATTTCCTCTATGTTTTCCTGTATTTCCTCTATGTTTTCTATGTTTTCCTCTATTTCCTCTATGTTTTTAACAGACAAATCGTTTACAAAACAGTTAAAAATGTGACAATGTGTAAGATAAAAACAATGAAGGCACGAGGGTCTGACCCTAATCATTTTAACTGGAGAGTTAGAAGTTTAGCTGAAAATGTGAATGCCTCTTGCTGTAACTTTAGCTGAAGAAAAGCTAAGAAACAAATTGATGATGTCACTGATTATGTCACAGTTGAAAATTCTGTTGCCATGGAGATCATATATTCTAAGACACAAATTGATGATGTCACTGATTATGTCAAAGCTGAACATTCTGTTGCCATGGAGACCATATATTCTAAGAAACAAACAGAAGATGTCACTTATGTGACTGATGATCATCATCGTTAGCTTTTAGCTGCTCTGTTTATGCATTTCCATTGGAACTTTGAGTCATGAGGGTCCTCAGGCTCTGCTTCCCCAAGGGAAGACATGTCGGTGGAATTGACAGTGTGTCAATTGACGCACTAGCATTTCTGGCGAAAATGCTAGTGTGAATGTGTCTTGCTGATAACTTTAGCTCAAGAACAGCTAAGACACAAATTGATGATGTCACTGATCTTTCCTGTCCCTCAACCAGCCGGTCGAGGCAGATGGCCGCCTGTCCTGAGCCTGGTTCTGCTGCAGGTTTCTTCCTGATTAGCAGGGAGTTTTTCCTCTCCA